CTATTTTATATCACAGCCCGTCAGATGGCTTCGTAATCTGACCCAGGAAGATTTCTTGTGCCTATGTTGGAGAAAGCAGTGGAGTACTCGGGAAGGCCGTCTGTTCGTAGGTCCCTGTCGCCGTTTACGTACGTCACACCTATGATCATGCCCTACCAGCCCGGCGTGGTCCGCTCTGCGTGTAACCATTGCGGGTTTACAGGGAGTTTTCCTGGTCGCGCGCGCGCGTACGCGAGAATCAATTGTAATTCAAATAAATTTATTCAGCAAATCGAAAACAAACAAACAAATTACATTTTCTTTCGAATTTTTTCAAATGTTTCTTTATATTCCAATATATGAGGATGATTTGAAGGTAATTTTTCTTGACCAATTTCTACGGCTTGTTCAACATTTTTCATTGCCATATTATATTGTCGAGTAGATAAATATAATTTCGCCAAATTATGATATACAACAGCTAAATCAGGATGATTTTTTGGTAGTTTATTTTCACGTATTTCTAATCCTTTTTGATAATATGTCAATGCCATTGTATAATCTTTCATTTTACGATATGTTTCACCTAAATTTATATATGTCGTTGCACAATCTGTAGGATTACATTGAACATTTTCTTGAATATTTAATGCTTTTCGATGAAATGACATTGCCTTATCATAATCACCCATTAAACGATGAACATCACCAATATTACTGTATGATATACCAAAATATGGATGATTTTCAGGTAGTGTTTTTTTATCTATTTCAAGGCATTTTTCAAAGTAATCAAGTGCCTTTGAATAATCTTTCATACTGCGATAAACTCTTCCAAACCAGCTGTATGTTGAAGCAAAAGCTGGATTACCTTCTTCAAAAGCTTTTTGCTGAATTTGATAAGCATTTTTAAGGGCTTTAAGAGCTGTTGTGTAATCACCCATTCTTTCGTAACATGATGCAAAATTCAAGTGACTAACAGCCAAATGAGGATGATTCGAAGGCAGAGCTTTTTGGTAGATTTTATGTGATTTTTCGTAAAATTCAAGTGCTTTCGAGTAGTCACCCATGTTATTATACACTTGACCGATGTTGCTGTATGAAGAAGCCAAATCTGGATGATTCGAAGGCAGAGCTTTTTCGTAGATTTTATGTGATTTTTCGTAAAATTCAAGTGCTTTCGAGTAGTCACCCATGTTATTATACACTTGACCGATGTTGCTGTATGAAGAACCCAAATTGGGATGATTCGAAGGCAGAGCTTTTTCCAAGATTTTATGTGATTTTTCGTAAAATTCAAGTGCTTTCGAGTAGTCACCCATGTCGCTGTACACTCCACCGATGTTGTTGTATGAAGTAGCCAATGAGGGATGATTCGAAGGCAGAGCTTTTTCGTAGATTTGATGTGCTTTTTCGTAAAATTCAAGTGCTTTCGAGTAGTCACCCATGTCGCTGTACACTCCACCGATGTTGCTGTACGAAGTAGCCAAATCAGGATGATTCGGAGGGAGAGTTTTCTCGTCGATTTTAAGTGTTTTTTCGTAAAATTCAAGTGCTTTCGAGTAGT